GCACGCCTTTGGGCTGGACTTTGAGCTTTTTCACTTTGCAAACCTATTACATGCACAAAAAAGGTATATAACTCAATAAAGAATAGGGAAAAAGACAAAACGCATAATACCACCTCATTAACTTCAACGTTAGTTAGACCAGTCTTTGGTAATTGGTGCTTTTGTCACTGAGATAAACTTCTCAAAAGCTCAATTTTAATAAATGAAGGCCGGCTTTGTAAAGACGATAAAATCATATTATTAAATCAATAACATTGCAGAGATTTCAGAGTCAGAAAAGGTCAAATTTGACAAGGGATTTCTCTAAAAGCTCTGATACATCCAACTTGGAAATTAGGCAAACAAACATGGTTCCCTCCCATGAGTCCATTATTATTATCCATTTGAACCCTCACGCCACCAACTCTGCAATCGTTCATTGATTTTGATATGTCTTGGGAACATGGGAATCTTTCCTGACTCTACCTTCTCCCGCAATGATGACGCAAACGCTGCATTAGCCGCTCCAATCATTTTAATGTTAGATTTGTGCCTTGTTGGCTGATGTCGCTAGTAGTTTAGCCACCGGTCATCTGGTCTGCTAAGGTTAGCTGTCGGTCACAAACTAATTGAAAAAACAATAGAAATTCTGAGCATGGCTTTTCATGTTCGACTTTGTTAACAAGATGATGTAAAGAAAATGTAAACAAAGGCTGTAAGATGTGGTTTAACGACTTAAACTGACTCACCAGTGGGTCTTTACAAACACATGCTGTGCAGCCAAACTTAGGCTACATCCACACTACTATGTTATCAGTCCTCACCAGAGTTTTAGCTGCGTATCAGAATTGATCTCTGTCCAAAGTAAAACAGCACATCACGTGACCGTTCATGTACACTGGGCATGTGCATGCTGGTGTTAACAGGAACCGGATTGTCTACTCTGCAGTTGCAGAACATTCAACGATAGAAGAAAGTTCTACTAGAGACGAACGAAGAACCACACCAGAGATGTTTTTGCATGGACCGACATGGCGGTGGAACTGTTATTAAAAGTAACACAGGAGTATAAAAGTCATGTCATAGGAGCCTGATGAATCAGGGAAGGATACACCCCTTTGAAAGTCCTCCATTTTTCCTGTTTGAACTAATACGCTTTTTTTTTGTTTTAAAACAAAAAAAGGGGTCGGCAGCGTTTTGAAACTTCTCCAGTTTTAGGTGTTTGGAATCGAAATGTAGAAGTGTGGATGTAGCCTGAGTTCAAAACAACACTGTGCTTTTATCGCATTGTGCTGCTGTAATAAAAATATTAACTTCTGTAGATGTTTCACAATAGAAGTTTTCCAATGGATTACGGCCCCTGAACAACTGGAAGGCTTTTAATGTGAAACAGAAAAGTTTTGAGTTTTTACTGCAAACAACAACCTTAAGAAGACAGATCAGGAAAGCAGGAGGTTTCTGACCAAAATATGATCAAATTAACTTCTGACAGTGAAATAAATTACACACACTGTTGACATGTGCTTATGGCGTTTCAGCTCTGGCAATGCAATCATTGATAGTTGGCATAAAACACATCACTGCTGCTACAGACACCTGATTTAAAAACTAGGGTAAACTGCAGAGAGATTTATCTGGCAGTGAGAGGCTTAATCAGCATTGTGTGAACTCGTTTGGCAACAACTTGATTGTTACAGACGTTTATATGTAAAAGTCTTTCACGCTCTTTAAAAACAGGAGGATTTATTCAAAAATAAAAACCTCTTTCTTCTAAACAGCCAGGCCACTATTTGAGAATTTACTGTAATTCCTGTTTTATTGTTTCAATCCTGTTTTCCACAGTTGTAAAATGTGTTATGTGTATCCTTGAAGCTGCTATCCCTGTACTGTGTAGATCGGAGATGTCCAGCCTTATCCCTGAAGCCCTACAAACATCCTCCATTAGCTCACCGTACACCTCACATACACACATTTTTATTAAATGCATCAGTGGGACACTCGATTCAGTTTGTGCCTTTCAGGGAATCATTAAATTTTACATTTTTGAATTGTGTGATTTTAACCTGTTTTACAAGGTGCTTCTTTATCTCTTTTAACCAAACAAAGATGGCAACTAATGTAGACGTGATACAGCGCGTGGCCAAAAGTATTCGGACAATCATAGTTAAACAAATCATTCTATAACCATGGCCATTAATCTGCTCCATAAGGCTTTGGGAATTGGCTGCAGGGATTTTCAATCATCTAAAATGTCTTTGTCTCATTCCTTATTTTGATTTTGTTCAACATTTACATGACACATGGCCTTAAACCTCACCTTGATCTGAAGACCAATAATAATTGTTGTTGTGTTTAAAAAAAAAATTCCCTCCAAAGTTTCACAAATACTTTACACTTTCCATTATTGGATCCAGTGGCGTTAAGTATAGAGTATATTTATTCAAGTACTGTCATTTTTACTGTACAATTTTGAGGTACTTGTACTAGTGAAAATCAAGACTAAAATAGATAAAGGAACATGACAAAAAATAATAATAAGAACAGTTTTGGTGACGTGCTGCACAATAATAGGCTACAGGGAGAATTTGTTACTTAGAGTTGCCTTCTTTATTTGGTTGGAAACTGGTTTAGGCCTGGTCACACCATCATTTACAACAGCAAAATCAATTAATACCTATAGAATCGTTGCGATCAGTGGATTTGATGAGTTCAGTACTTAGACTCATTGATTGGTGACCAATAGTAAGAGCTATTGTAGTTTAGCAGTGTGAAACCATCTAGTTTTATGTTTTACACACAGTTAGGAGACAGGAGGCCATGCTACATATATGTCAGTGTGTAATTTCTTATTTTCAGGTTAGCAGCCGAGCTAGTGAGCTTAAACTAGTTTAGAAAAATGCCTGACCATGCCAGATTACTTGCGTGTTAGTAGTAAGCTCTCCAGGTAGGCCTACAGTAGTTCACTAACTATGTTTCTACAACCATGTATTTTGTGCAAAAGACACAGTGTTGAATTCTTGTATTCCAGTAACACATTCTCACTCCCAACTCATCAAATATTGAAACCCTTCGTCAAGACCTTTGGCATCGCTTCTTAATGCCCTGGGTACCGCTTTTTTCATGTTTTTTGGTATTTAGGGCAAAAGTAGAGTCAATAATTATGCAACATCTGGTTAGAATTTCAAAATAACATTATGTGGTAACGTTGTGATTGTTGCCATTTGGTTAGGTTTAGGAAAAGATAGTGGTTTGGTTAAAATAGAAAAAAAAGGTAGTTCATCAGTTAACTTAAGTAACTTAAGTAATGTTGCTTATGTAACTTAGGCAACTTTCATCACTTTACGTAAGTTACCCGTGTGCGAGAAAGTTTCCCAGGAAACACAGACTGTTAAATATCATATAGGCCTACCTACCCGGGCTCCCCAGTGCGTTGAGCTACGGCGTTCCTCTGTGCGTTACAAACTGGTCTTGATCATACATCCATATGTGAAAACTTGGAAGTGAGAACAGGTCTGAGAGCATCTGGTGGGAACACGCTAGATAGGGACAAAGCTAGCAAGCTTGCTTACTGTGAGTTAGCTAACTTAGCTGTCTGTCTTTTTAGCATGATCTCTCCAGTCACAGTAGTTCACCAACTAACTAGTGACTCAGCTTCTAGAACCATGTTTCTGGTGTGCCTGGGCCTTTACAGAAACAGTTTTTCATAGTTTGTATTTGGTGACATGTTTATTTCTGTGACTGAACTCATATTGAAAAACCCTCAAGTGTAAAAACTGCGACCCTTTAGAGGCACAAATTGGCGCTTGTGGTCCGCCAATTAGTTTTTGTTTCCATCAAATCCATATTTTTGACATTCTTCAGTATATCATGAAAAGCGGCTGTTTGTAGGCATACCTGCAAAGTGTAACCTTTTTTAATGCATGGTTTAAATTGAATACAGTCCTTCATTCATGTCCACCCAGGGATGTTGTGTTCTGCCAACAGTAGTGGAGGTAGTTTCCGTTCTATGTGGAGTCTGTAGACTTTGCTGCCTGTGAGTGTGAATCATCCGTGAAGCTGCCTCCGTCCAATAAGTACCTTTTTCTGACACCATTCCCCAAAACAACGCTGCCAAATTGGTCTGAATAAGCCAAAAGTTTTCTGACGTTCTCTGTGTATGTGGTTTAAGTGTATCACATGTTAAACCTCATCCCGTTAATGTTACATTGTGTTTTTAACAAAAGACTCCTGTTTGTTAAATTGTTAATAATATATGCAGAAGAGTAATGAAATAAACCGAAACAAACAATAATGTGGCTGTTGGCTGGTGACTCCATGATGCTATTGTGGAAGAAGATATATGTGTGCTCTATATACCTTTTATATACAAATGTGATTGATATGGAACAGAGCACAGTAGCAGTAGGAGGCAATTGTTCTGTTTGTCCTTTGGTGTGCACATGCACTCCTTCATCTCTGCTTGTTCTGTGTGTGCCCAGAGTAAGATCTCAACTTAGCTCAGTTCTGAGCTCCTCCGGCCCCTCCCAGTCCCTGGCTGTCCCTGGGCGCATATTGCAGTTGACTTTGTCACTGGCCTCCCTCCTTCTTCTGGTAACACTGTCATATTCACTATCATTGACTGCTTTTCTAAGTTTCTCTATCTAAACCCCTAGAGCCAAGGAGACGGCTAATCTCCTGATCAATCACGTTTTCCAGTCACATGGATTGCCTGCTGATATCGTGTCGGACTGGGGGCCCCGATTCGTATCAAGTCTGGAAAGCCTTCTGTCTCACCCTTGGCATCACAACCAGCCTTTCCTCCGGATACCACCCCCAAACTAATGGTCAGACTGAGCAGGTAAATCAGGAGATGGAGAATTTGCTGCACTGCATCACCGCCTCCAGCCCATCATCCTGGAGTACTATGGGTTCCCTGGGTAGAGTACGCACACAACACTCTAATCAATTATTCTACTGGGATGTCCCCTTTTCAGTGCACTCTTGGTTATCAGCCCTCCGTTTCCTTCACAGGAACGCGAGCGGGCAGTTACCTCGTTACAGGCCCAGATGCACTGTTGCTTTAGAATCTGGAAAGAAAACAGGAGCCCTAGTTCACGCCTCAGCCAAAATGCAAGAACAGGCAAACCGACGCCGCCAGCCAGTCCCCAACTACAGTCCGGGTCAAAAGATCTGGCTGAATGCTAAGAATCTTAACCTTAAAGTTGAGTCCGTTTTATTGGTCCCTGCGAGATCCTGTCTATCATTAACCCTTGTGCCGTTCGTCTTAAGCTGCCCTCCTCTCACTGTATCCATCCCACCTTTCATGTATCCCAGATCAAGCCCCCTGAGTCCTCCCTGTCATCCTTCTCCTCTGCCCAGGGTCATTGGTGGGGACCCTGTTTTCACTGTCCGCCACCTGTTGGATGTCCAGCGGGGTTGCAGTGTTCAGTATCTGGTCAACTGGGAGCGATATTGCCCTGAGGAACGGTCATGGGTGCCCCACAGATACGTCTTGGACTCTTCCCTGATTGCTGACTTCCACAATCTCCATCCTGACAAGGCTGGGTGCCTCATTAGGATCCGCTTCTTATACCGGGTCCTTGCCTCCACTCAGCACCAGATCACAGACTCATGTTACCAGTCAGTCACGTTCAAGCCATTCTAGTCTACACTATTAATTGTGCCAAATATCTAGATAACCCTGTTCTCCTGTGCCGCAGATCTCCAAGCCTGGCCCTTCTCCTGCAACTACTCCACCCCTGCTCTCATACACCTGGGACTCTGGGCCCATTCCCTATGGACTACCCCCATCCTGGATACCCAGCATAGTGCTGTCCCTGCCCCGCCCCCCGCTCTGAATCCTGCTTCGCACATTCTATATATTGTACATAAAACCCTGATTTGATTCACCAACTTCCATCTCTGAGTCTGAATACTGCATTTGAGTCCGAAAACCCACAGCTTAACATGATGTGTGTGTAACATGAAGCAACTACAAATCATTTTGTTATGCAGCCTTGTGCTGTATAATGACTAATAAACAACCTTGTACCTTTCAATCCTAGTGCCGTCCCTGCAAATATACATGTACAAAATCTTAGTCACTAATGACGACATTAAAAGTTTGGAGTTAGTATTTAATATTGTTTTTTTATTGATTAATTTCATTTCAAAAGAAAAACATATGTTATAACAAGTTATTAAAATGTTCTGGTTATTAAAATGTTCTGGTGTCCAGTGTCCAACACAATCTGTTGGGATATACTAGAAGTATTTTAAAAAGCTAATAGATATATAATCCTCCATTAATAACAATGGGACTGAAGTTTGGCGTCAGAATGGTGTATCAGCTTGTAGACCTCAGTGAAGCTTCCATTAAATCCAAACTTTCTACAGGTTTTATCTTCTTGTTTCTGTGTTACAAACTTATCTGTTAAACTGAGAGAAAAGTCGGGAGAGGGAACTTAATGCATGCAGGCTGGATGGATGCTGCTTTTTCACATCAACCACCAAAATGTGTCAGAAATATATTGTGGAAATTAACTGCAATTCACCATCAATCCACAAGGTGGAGCTGCAACAGAAAGCAAAGCAGAAAAGTCTGTTTTGTCCTCAGAAACAGAACTAATGTGCAGAGGCTCTTTGGGTTCAGAACATCTGAATGAATTAAACAGACAGAATCAGGTCCAGGTGGAGGTCCAGTGGAGGAGGTAGCTGAGTGTGGAGCAGAAGGAGTGGAGGAGTCTCAGTGTGTCTGCAGAGACTGTGTAGAAGGACAGAGCAGCAGCAGAGCAGTCCAGATCCACTGATGATACTCTGTCACATCCAGAGGAACACACAGGGAGGATGGTGGACTTGACTTTGTGTCTGACAGTGGAGCTGATCTCAGAGCAGTTCAGACTGCAGCACTGTTGGGATTCCTCTGTCAGTCACTGCTGGATGAAGCTCTCCTCTCCACTCTACCTCCCAGTAACATGGCCCAGTCAGAGCCTCTCCACACACAAGCTGATGCTGCTGCTTCAACCTCTCTGGATCATCAGGACACAGCTGATCCTCTCTCAACACCACCACCTTTCTGATCCCTCACACTCTGACAGAGATCACCTCCAGCTGATGAGAGAAGAAGACAGAGAGCAGAAGTCATAAATCAGAGTTGACTCAGAGAGACTTCCTTCATCAGCTGTCAGTCAGTGATGCAGCACATCCAGTATAAAGACCAGCAGGGACTTCAGTCTTGTTCAGACCAGAAGTGGAGTGGTTGTGTAGCGTATCCAGCTTCCTTTCAGCTCTCACATTTAAGAGTAGGCTTAAGACTTTCCACTTTGATAAAGCTTATAGTTGGGGCTGACTCAAGTGAGTCCTGAACCAGACCTTAGTGATGCTTTGGGCATCAGGTCTGTTTACTCTGCAGGTTTCACTCAAGTCCACAGTGGAAATTAAGTGCTGAGAGTCCCTGAACGCATCATGACTGCAGACACAGAGATATTCACTGCTCACTGTAATGATGGATTTACTGCTGTTAGGGCTCAAAGCTGTTAAAAACAAGCGGCTCAGTCACATTTGAAGATTTCATCTACTTTTGAAATATTACAGGACAAATCTGTAAATATGGAGTCTGTTCTAAAAACATCTGGACCAAACTAAAGACACATGGACAGATATATCTATATGATGTTAAAGGTCCTACATGTTCATACAAACACTGAACAGCTAAACATCAGCTGTGCTTACTGGACTTCAGCAGAGGTTTCTGTCTGTAGAAAGACCACATGGTTACTAAATGTAATGATGGTTCTCTGAAATAAGAGCCAGTGATTTGCAGGCTTCAGTCAGACTGATCTCAGAGCTGTGACAAAGATGAACTGATCAGTAGTTTAGTGTTGAAATGAGAGAACAAACACTTTGAGATCAGATTTGATGGTCCGACAGTTTGATGAATGAGGACCACTGTCTCTATACATCTTGTGATGCTGTCAGCTGGAATCCAGCTTTATTTCCTGGAGACATGAACACAACAACAACAGTCGTCTTCACATCAACTCAAACACATGATCACTGGCTGTTCTCTCTCTCTGTCTTTCTGTCCAATCCTGAAGCCTGTCACCATTCTCCTCTCACAGCTTCACTGAGGTAAGCAGCCGCTGAGAAGGTTGGAGGTTTACAGGAAATACTGGATCTCTGCTTTGATACTAACTGTGTTTAGTACAATACTGCTGAAACCAGCATGGACTGACTCCAACCCTCTACTGACCTCAGAGTCTCCAGTCTGCAGTGTGGACTCTCCTTCAGATCAGACAGCAGCTTCACTCCTGAATCCTGCAGGTTGTTTCCTCTGAGCTCCAAATCTCTCAGATGGGAGGGGTTGGACTTCAGAGCTGAGGCCAGAGAAGCACAGCTGATATCTGACAACCAGCAGAGACTCAATCTGAATAAAGAATAAATGATTTAACTTTAGAAGACAATGTTCCTGCTTGAAATCATTCAGTGTTTAATAATCTGTCAGAGCTGCAGAAGGTTTAGAATGTAGAAGTTTAGAAAATGGAAACTCCAAACACCTGAAACCAACAGGATGCAGGTTCAAATTGTAAAATACAAAAAAGGTAAAATGAGCTCTCATTAATATAAATGACAATGTGCTGCTACTTCTATAAAGATGCAGTGACTTCACCTCTTAAACTCTGCAGCTCCACCAGTGGCTCCATCTATACAAACTCATGTTGTGTAGCCAAACACAAAGAAAAACCCACAGAAACTGATTTAAGATAATAATAGTAATAATAATAATAATACATTTTATTTATAGGCACCTTTCTGAACACCAAGGTCACCTCACAAAACATAATAAAACAGTACAAAAATAAATTGATAAAATTAACAACTATAATTACAGCGCATAAAATCACTGGAACTGGAAACAAAGATTGCTGTGACCTGATAAATAGTGATCACGTTGGATATGCCAGTTTAAAAGACGTGTTTTCAGGCGCGATTTAAAAATGGAAAGAGAGTCAATGTTGCGGATGTCTGGTGGAAGAGAGTTCCATAGATGAGGGGCAGAGCAGCGGAAGGTTCTGAACCCCATGGTGGTCAAACGAGCAGGAGGTACCGTGAGGTGAATAGAAAAAGAAGACCTAAGAGTACAGGTTGGTGTGTTAATATGAAGGAGGTCATTCAGGTACAGAGGAGCGAGGTTATGAATGGCCTTGAAGGTCCGGTGCAGAATCTTGATATCAATGCGGTATCTAACTGGGAGCCAATGAAGCTGCTGAAAGACAGGAGTAATTAATTAAAGGGGTTCTGGTGATGATACAGGCAGCAGAGTTCTGATCCAGTTGAAATTTGTATATGGATTTGAGTGGAAGACCAACGAGAAGAGAATTACAATAATCAATGCGTGATGTGACCAATTTGTGAACAAGAATGGCTGTACTAGTGGGTGAGAGAGACGGTTGGAGGCGATTAATGTTATGTAAATGGAAGTATGCAGACCAAGTGACATTATTAATGTGAGCTTGAAATGAAAGTGTGCTGTCAAGGATCACACTCAGACTCTAGACCTGAACGGAGGGGGAAACTGTGCAGAAACTGTGCAGTCAATGGTAAGACAAAATCTGTCAGATATAGTCAAAGTGAATTTGGTGCCAATGAGGAGATCCTCGGTTTTGTCACTGTTAAGTTTGAGGAAGTTGCAAGAGAACCAGGATTTGATTTCCGTTAGGCAATCAGAGAGGGAGGTGGGAGGTAGGTGGACAGGTAGAGCAAGGTGTCATCCACATAAAAGTGGAAATGGAAGTTACATTTACGAAAGATTTGGCCAAAAGGAAGCAGATAGATGATGAACAGAAGGGGCCCCAGGACAGAGCCCTGGGGAACACCGGTAGCGACAGGGGATAGCTCAGATTCTAAATGTTTGAGCTGGATAAACTGCGTGCAGCCAGAGAGATATGATTTAATAACATTAACATTTCTTGGTGCACGAGTCCAGTTTTCTTGTAAAGGCATTTCAGGCGACGACCTTGAACTGACGTAGTTCTGATGTAAACCATGGGGTAGAATGGGTGAAGGAAACAGTCCAGGTTGTTAAAGGAGCCAGAGGATTTAAAATGTTTTGTAGGCCATTGTTGTAGTGGGAAACCAGTTCATCAGGGTTGGAAAAACTGTTTATACTGGGGAGGCAGTCAATTTCACTAGAGAGAGTGTTTAAATTAATGTCCTTAATATTTATGAATGAAATGACATGTGGCAGTTTTATTTTGGACAGTGTTAAGTTGACATTAAAAGAAATTAACATGTGATCAGAAAAGGAGAGGTCAGCGGCAGTGCAACCATGAGGAGTGACACCAGAGCATTAACCCAAGTCCAAAACATGACCTTTGGAGTGAATGGGAAAGTGAATATGTTGCTCCAATCCAAAACTGTCCATGCAAGATTTAAATTCCCTTGTGTATGCATTAGTGGTATTGTCCATATGTATTTTAAAATCCCCCGGCAGTATTACGTTAGGACAGAGTGAGCAGATAAATGTGAGAAAAGCAGCGAATTCATTTATAAAGTCAGTATTGGGCTTGGGTGGATGAGTGACAGAGGCCATTATAGTTGGAATAGGGCCGTTCAGTTGTATGCAGATAGATTCAAATGAACCGTGAGAAGGTACAGAAACGGGTGAGATTTTCCACTTCTCGCGGTAAATTATGGCGAGAGCTGCCCCTCTGCCTGAGTCATGGGGTTGACAGATGTAAATAAACCCAGGGGGAGTAGATTCATTAAGCTGTGAAAAGTCATTAGGTTGTTGCCATGTTTCAGTCAGACACAGAAAATCAAACTTAAACGATAATTCAGAAGATCCTGGAGGAGAGAACACTTTCCATTAGAAAGAGGGTGTTGAATAGTCCAAAGCTGGCATTGTTATGGTCATGCTGGATGTTGGCGTTAGCTGACCTGGCTAGGCTGACTATGATACTGGTCAACTTTTCGTGTAGAGTTTCTGGGGGGATGACGATTAGAAGACCAGATGGATTGTATTGCTTTGGAATCGTTGATGTAAAAACTCCGTCAGGATCCACGGTGGATGTACTTCCAACAGGTATGATGCAACACTGACGGTGGAAGTGTAACTGCAGGAGCTCAGCTGCTGTGTACTGGAGTATCGCTGTCATTGGAGCCAGCATGAAAGACAGAGCAGTCCAGGAGAGCACAAACCACAAAAACATTCTGTTGATCCAGATTGTTGCCAGCGCCGGTGTTGAGACGGTGGGAGCCCTGGTGGTAACGTTACAAGTAAGCTAGTCCATACAACTACACCGGATAATCCAATCGTATGCCGATGTGGCCAGTTAAAATTGACAAGAGTAGTGGCAGCTAACCGTGCTAGCGTTCACTCTCGTGGCTGGCTGTCTTTTTTCCAGATTCCACTCAAGATCCCAAAGTTTCCAATGATACCAAATATGTCAGGATGGACTTTGGGGAAATGTGAGACATCTACAATATTTCTTTTAGCAATAGTGGAGTTCAGTCAGTATAAGCGTCATATAACTGCATAACAATGTTGGAAAAAGCAAACAGTGAATACAGTATATTTGTTATTGTCTGATAGTTGAAATAGAGATTATTTATTTCTTTATTGAATTCATATAGTTTTATTATCATTTCTTTAAAAAGATGATGTGGAATAGAAGCTGAAAATCAGGAGTTTAAGAGGTTCAGAGTGAATTATCCAGTGGAGATTTTTCTTTTTTCTTTTAAATGTAGAGCTCAACATTACTCTGCCACAGTCAATGGACTAAACCACTGAAGAAGAAAAGAGACTTTAGCATTAAGATACTCAGCGTGCAGCGTGGATCAGTATAATATCAGCCTTATGTGTGCACTATAGTGTCACCACAACATTCACATGATATTAATCTCAGCACAGAAGGAAAAAATAGTGTCTGACCCCAGAGTCTCCAGTCTGCAGTGTGGACTCTCCAGAAAACCACACAGCAGCTTCACTCCTGAATCCTGCAGCTCGTTGTTACTCAGCTGCAGCTCTCTCAGATGGGAGGGGTTGGACTTCAGAGTTGAGGCCAGAAAAGCACAGCTGATCTCTGACAAACTGCAGGAACTCAATCTGA